AATTTCATATTCACAATTATTAAATCTCTGTATTCATAATTATGTTAACAAATCTATGTTCAAAATTATAGAATTATATGTTCATAATTTTTGAACAATATTTATAATTATGAACAGTTTTGGAATCATGTACACCTTACAAGGTGAAGGTGGACACGATTTCATAACATAATTTGCCCGTAATGCCTAGTTGGACATAAAGTCGGTAATTCAAATTCGCCCATGAAGATCCGAAAATTGGGTCCAAATTCACATATTTGTCAAGACCCAATTAATGGGCAAATTATTGGGTAGACATGGTCTACACAGCATTGTGTAGACTATAACAAAAATTACCGTTTTAATATACTAAAAGTACATTATTTGTGTACTAAATATATATTATATAATATATTGTACATTCAGTATACAAATAATGTACATCTCCTGAATACAATAACATTTTTAATATACTAAAAGTACATTATTTTTGTACTGAATATATATTATTTTACACTATACAAAACATGGTCAACACAAAAATGATTGCAATTAATGGGCCCCTTTTTTTTTGGATGACCCTATAAAAGTGTAATCATTATTTGAGAGTTTATACCTTTTTTTTAAAAAAAATATTACTAAGTCTATTATAATGTACCAGGACTATGTGGTCTAATGGTACCCGGGTTGGATTTTCATTTGGAAGATTATGAGTTTGAGCTTCAGTGGAGGCGTTATTAGTTCTTTGTGTTTCATTATAATGTAGTGGGAGCAACTTGGTGTCATTTGACCACAAGGTCCTTGGCATTTAAGAGTTTATACCTAATAAACTCAACTTATTATAATAGTCTACAGTATACTGAATATTTATTTTTAGTACATTAAATGTTTATTTTTTAAAGGTTCATTTTAGTTATATTGAAAATTTATCTTTTGGTAGGGGGGGGAGCAGCGGATCGTGTAGATGAAAGTCATATTTGGATGATATTCGATTTTCATTTTAGACCCCCAATACATGGAAATTTAATAGGAAACCCATCGAATATTAACACAAGTGAACCTGTCGAATTTCTGGCTTTTAATTGGATAATTTGGTTTTTATAAAAAATAAATGAAAGTACAAAATTTGTTTGTTTGTTTGTTTTTTTTTTTTTTTTTTTTTTTGATTAAAGTGGAAGGGGGAAACCCAAAGCTATAGAATTACACGTCTAATTGACGCCAACCCGGATACCCATTCCGGTCATCATTCAAAATTGTAGCAAGTGCCACAGGCGGCACATCCAAAACGGACAAACCCAGCTGATTGTTGCCTTGGCTAGAAAGTCAGCAGCCATATTCTGTTCTCGTGGAATGAAAGTGAGGTTCCAGATGCCAATATCCTCGAGCTCCCTCTTGCATGCATGTAACACATTGTTTGCAACGTTGTTGACCTCAATATTCCGATTAATGGCCTCCACTATCTTCTTTGAGTCGCATTCAAAGCTGGTTTGTCTACTGTCAATAAGTTTTGCAGGCTGAATTCCTTTAAGTAAAGCCCATGCCTCCGCAGCCTCTACTGAACACGTGCCAATATCGTAAGAGAACCTCTTATCCAATTTCCAAATAAGATCATATCATCCGCAAAAAATAAATGTGTCAAGCATGGACCTTCTCTTGTAAGCCTTATCCCCTCCTAGCTGCCATCCGAACTCAAACTGTCAATATGGTGGCTTAGCCGTTCCACACAGAGCACAAAAATCAAGGGCGAGATTGGATCCCCTTGACGGATGCGCGCGAAGGATTAAACCATTCCGAGGTCCTCCCGTTTAGCGAGATTGCCAGCCTAGGTGAGGTGATACATTCCATCACATTTCTTATCCATTCATGGTTCCTATCTCTTGTAAGGTAGACCTGATGAAATTCCAAGATAACCTATCATACGCCTTTTCAAGGTCGATCTTGAGAACCATCCAACTTTGAGAACCCTTTTTAATTACCCCTCATTGACCTCAACACTTCTTGGTAGATAAGGATGTTGTCTATGGTTTGCCTTCCTGGCACGAAACTAGACTGATGTGGGCCAACTAGTTTTGGTAATTAAACATTGTACTAAAATTAAATTTAGTTAAAACATATAAAATAGTAAAATACTGAAAATGTAACATACAAATTTACACTTTAATTTTAACTAAACAGTAAATAATTAAACCCTACAAATCTAAATTATACAATCTGATAGTTTGGCACAAAGCCACAAAATCATAAGTCATAACATAACATCAGTCATAAAGTTTTGATTCTTCTAGAAATAAGAATCTATAAATCATAATCCAATACTATTGGGCTATTCATCTTCTTAAAGAAATTCAACAAGTTAAAAAGTTAAGTAAATTGTAAACTTGTCAAAAGAATTAATAACAATTCATATGTTGATCACATAAAACATATTAAGTGATTAACTTATTAAATGGGACAAATGGTGCAAGAAATGCTTATTTTTTTATATCATGTTATGATTGTGGACAAATTGCCCATTAGTTGTGGCAATACCACACTACATGGCAATATACAAAACCGAATCTCATATTTCAAAGAACATGGTGGAAACATCATCATTGCAAACTTAAATTTTTAAGTTAGTAATACTTTTTAATAAACACACAATTACACTATTACAAAAACAAATATAAAGATAAATAGAGAGGTAAGTGATATACCAGTTACTGTCGATCATTGCAATTTTTCAAACTTAAATTCTTACACTCTTACTAATACCTCATACCTGGGATAATATTGGGTTATTAGCTCAATTGACAGCCATCTAAAACGGGCCAAGCCATTAAGCCACCACACTTTCCAGTCAGGGAGTCAGCCAAGCCAACGATGAAACCGTTGTGCCCCTTAGGGGTGGCAATGGGGCGGGACGGGGGCGGGAAGTATACTCCCTGTCCCCGTCCCCGTCCCCGTCGGGGAATTGGACATGTTCCCATTTTCATCCCAGCGGGAAATTAGATGGGGTCGGAGATTCCCTATTCCCTGTTAACTCCTAGTCAAAATGTTAAATACCTTTAATTTTTAATAATAAAAATTTAAAATTTAAGTACTAGTTTCAAAAATTAAAATACTAACTAACTAACTAACTAACTCTATATATATATATATATATATATATATATATATATATATATATATATATATATATATATATTATAATTAAGTGGAAATTTTAATTTTGGTCATATGACTATAGGGGTGTTGTTAATTTCAGTCTCTGACTTTTAAAAGTGTCAATTTAGTACCTTAACTATGCAATTTTTGTCAATTTTGGTCACTGCGGTCAAATTGCCTGCCAAATTTCGTCAAAAAATTTTAATTGTTAAAATAATGAGGGTATTCTGGTCATTTCACGTCTCTTTTCTTCTTCCCAGGCGATTCCATCCCTTCCTCTCCCGTTTCTAGCGAATGCAATGAACTAAGATGATGCGGAAAGGAGGCTTGATGATATTAAAGATAGGGTTTACAGGGAGAAAGAACGCCAGAAACGGGAGAGAAATGGATGGACTCGCCGGAGAAGAAGAAAATAGGCTTGAAATGACCAAAATACCCTTATTATTTCAACTATTAAAATTTTTCGGCGAAATTTGGCGGGCAATTTGGCCGGAGTGACTAAAATTGACAAAAATTACATAGTTATAGTACTAAATTGACATTTTTGAAAGTCAACCCCTATAGTCATATGGCCAAAATTGAAATTTCCTCTTATAATTAATGTTGACATAGTATATATAATTGGCAGTGTTGCACTGTACTATATAAGTTTATATACGGGCATGTATCGTCGAGATTAGCATGTTTTTTTTTTTTTTTTTTTTTTTTTTTTTGGAAACAGAGATTAGCATGTTTGTAAAGCAAAACACACAAATTTAGGTTCCGTTTGGAAACCCAAAAAATGATTTCTAAAAAATGTTTTCCGAGTTTTCTGTGTTTGGATGCAAAAGAAAAATCCAGTCAACGAAAAAATGTAGACATTTTGGTGGAAAATAACTTACACTAAAATTTGGCAAAAATCATTTTCCATCAACACTCAAAACATGGTTTTCCGCCGGAAACCATTGTTTAAAAAATATTTTGATAAATAATATTATTATAAATAGTTTTATATTCTAAATAAAATATTTAAAATGTTTAATTATACAATTCTACTTATTTTCTAGAAAATGACCCAAACACATCAAGATAGTTTTTCAGAATACAACCAAACATGATAAAGGAAAATATTTTATGAAAAATGACTCATTTTTCAAACAATATTTTCCAAAAGTCATTTTCTTGCTTTAACGAACCCTTAGTAAAAAAAAAAAGGCAAATTATATCATGCACCGCGGTGCATAATTGATTATGCACTGCGGTGCATAATTGATTATGCACTGCGCTTCAAAATGACATCATTTTGCTTAATGAAAAGAAACGGCACTCCTTTCATGCTGTTTCGCAAAAAGTAACTCTATTATTCAGTTTCATTTTATATACACTGCACTTTTAGTTCAACACAACTACAATTTCATTTCGATATAACTACAGTTTCATTCGACATTTGTACACTCAAATATGTGAAAATGTTATTTAATTTTATTTTATATACACTATACTTTCATTAAAACACAACTACATGATCATTTCGATATAATTACAGCTTTATTGCACAACATACACTCAAATATGTGAAATGTTATTCAGTTTCATTTTATATACACTGCAATTTCATTTCACAACAACTACATTATCATTTTGATATACCTGCAGTTTCATTTGATAATATATAAAATAATACGTGAGGTAGTGTCGGTTTAGATACACTGTAGTTTCAGTTGATAATTAACACACCAAAAAATGCGCGCTCCGTTAACAGTAACGACGCGCCGTTTCTTTACTTAAAGAAATGACGCCGTTTTGACCACGGTGCACGTGCACCGCGGTCCATGATATAAGGATCAGTATAAAACCGGTTCGATTAGTATAAAACCGGTTTGACTATTTGTGTCGAAAATCCGGTACCGACACCGTTAATGTGATCCACGGAACAATCGGGTTCAGATCGACTGAAGCCATCGACCCATACACGGTTTCCAAATTCTCCTCGCTCTGCGGATTCCGATCCCTAGCTTCCTTGTCTTCTTCTTTTCAGCTCTTCATTGGTACGCCTCTTATCTCTTCCCCAATCGTTTTTGCTTAATTTTCTCAATATACAAATCCCAATGTTTTCGCCTCTTTCTATCTGTACAACATTCTTCAAGGAATTTATAAGATTTTTTATTTTATTTTATTTTTTATTTTTTATTTTATTTTTTGCTTTTCTGGTTTCAATTTCAATCTGATTTGTTGTTGTTTTGTGATTTTAAGCGCTTTTGTTGTTCTGTTAGTGTTGCTTCAGTGGTTCCTTAGTAGGCAAGTCAAAGAAGTTCTGACATATATAGGATGATTCATTGATGTTGTTGTTTCTTCAGGAACCTAGTTTTCATTCATTCGTTAATTTGTTGTTTCATTATATGCTGAGTATTGATTTTGCTTCGAAGATGAGCCTGGTATTGACAATTTGTCTTATGGTTTGATAAGCTGATGGTGATGGATTTTAATAATTTTATTGTGCTACTGTCACAATTGCTGTTGAATATTTACGCATTGCAGTTGAATTGAAGTACTTAAACGGTGGAAGTATGAATTGGAATTCTGATGTTGTTTGAGATATTGAGTTTTGATTGCTATCTGAATTCTGGTTACAATATATGGTGTGGAAAATGAGCATGAGCTAATTATGCTTTTGGTTTAATCTTATATGTAAAATTTATCTTTGGTAGCATAGCTTGGGAGAGTTACGCGTTACTATGCTATGGGGTTGTTTAGAGTTGTGTTTCTACTTTCTACTTTCTATATTCATGGTGGAAATATACTACTATAAGCTGCAATGTTTAGAAGATAACCTCCTTTTCTTGGGTGAACTATTGCAGACTTATTGAGATATCAAGACATAAAGGAAATTTTTTTCATTTCAGCGAAAAGCGTGCCCGTTTTAGATCTGTGGAGGTTAGCTACTTGACTGTAAAGCATGTGTGTCAACTTCTTAAACAGTTCTATGGAAGTGCTAAGAGTATTATCATCTGGGCTGGTTGGCTTTGGACTTTTGTTAAAATCATGTGAAGAGAATGTTACAGCTCTTGCTTGCTAGTGATTTTCTATAGCACTATAGTACATTAGTACTGCATGCATTCCTCCTACTTGTATTTCATGTCCTAGTTTTACCGACTAAAGCAGATTGTATTACATTATTGTGTTTATCGGGTTACAGCTTTAGTGGATTTATTTATGCATGTAGACACTGCATTAAAAAATTTATGGTTCTTTTGATCTCAAAGGTGTTGATAATCATACATCTTGAAGGATGGAACAGGATGTGTTTTTGTTTATCCAATATTTTCTAGAGAATAAGTTTTTTTTTTTTTTTTTGGCCATAGATATGTATGATAATCTTGGAGCACAGTCTGGAGTTCCTAGACCGCCTACTATGCAGCAGCCAAATCCATTTGGAAATGCATTCTATGGTGCAGGGTCTGGTTTAATAAGAGGTGGATTAGGTGCCTATGGAGAGAAAATTCTTGGTTCAAGCTCTGAATACGTACAAAGCAATGTAAGTAGCATGCATGCATGCAAGGGTGCGAGTGACTGCTATTTGTTTTAATCCAAGCTGTGCGATGTAACAGCTATCTTACATGTAAAAAATTTGTGTCAATGAATATCATTCCTTCAAAGATCAAATTTTTGCAGTTTCAGATTTCATGTTCTTGCTGCTGCTGCAGGATGTTTTCTTTGTTTTTTTCCCTTTTTCTTTTCCAACATAATGGCTGGAATAATTTCTTATTCCTCCATCCATACCCCCTTCTTCCTTTGAGTGAAAGCTTTATATTGCTCATGGTGTTTTATAGAAATGGTATACAACTATTTTTATCTGTAACAGTTCAAAATTCATTTATATTTTCCAACTTGTTTAAATGAACAGATTAGTAGATACTTTTCTGATCCCCAATACTACTTCCAAGTCAATGACCAATATGTGAGGAACAAATTGAAAGTTGTACTTTTCCCATTCCTACATAGGGTAAGATTCGTTCCATGTTCCTGGTTCTTGCTTTTTTTTTTTTTTTTTGGAAATAACATCTTTTCTACCATCAATTGTAGGGTCATTGGACAAGGATCACTGAGCCAGTAGGTGGTAGGCTTTCCTATAAGCCCCCAATCTATGACATAAATGCTCCAGATTTGTATATCCCATTTATGGCATTTGGCACGTATGTTGTTCTTGCTGGTTTATCATTGGGTCTCCAGGGAAGGTGAGTGAGCTTGTACTCGTATATACCTGACCACAAGTTCTCACAGATCATTCGTTTCTGAATTTAGTTAATGGATTTGTGTTCCTTGTGAAACCCCCAACGCCACCCCCACATGGCCACCCAAAACAGGGCCAAGACTGTAAGGTTTAATATATTATTCTGATGGATAGGGGTTTTATTGCTTACGTTTGCCAGGTTTAGCCCTGAAGCCCTAAACTGGCTGTTCATGAAGGGTTTAGTTGGCTGGTTTTTACAAGTTTCATTGCTGAAGATGACACTTTTCTCACTTGGTAGCGGAGAAGCACCTTTCCTGGACATTGTGGCATATGCAGGATACACTTTTGCGGGTTTGTCCGTGGCTATCTTGGGGAAGATTTTATGGAACTATTCGTACTACTTTTTGATGCCCTGGGCTGGTCTATGCATGGGGATATTCCTGGTGAAAACGATGAAGAGGGTACTCTTTGCAGAGGTGAGGACTTACGATTCAAGCAGGCATCATTATCTCCTCCTCTTCATCGCCCTGTCTCAGTTCCCCCTTCTCTTCTGGCTTGGAAAGATCAGCATTAGTTGGTTCTTTTGAAGCACTCCCCCGTACCTTCATAGCTATAGAACCTCGAGTTCAACAGAATGTCAATTTTCTGGGACATTTTTTTTTTTTTTCCTGTAATATCTTTTGGTGCTTTTCTGAATACTTGACAGATTTCTCATCTAATGTATCTTTTGTCCAGCAAAAATGTACAATACTCTTGGTAGTGTTTGAAACTTTGAGGTTTTTTTTTTTTTTTTTTTTTTAATTATTTTTTTTTATTATTTTTTATCTACTGTATTACACTTCTCTCAAGTTTGTGCTTGGCAGTTGGCACAACCTTGCCATTCATTCTTTTTGTAAAAACTCATAAGCAGATAATCCTAGTTTGGCTGGCCTTATTTTATAAAGAAATATTGAAAAATGTTAATATTATCCCTACTCAAAAATAGACTTACATAAATTTGTATTTGTTTGACTTCAATTTTCGAGCGAAATACAAATATATAATATTGGACTCACTATATTATTCAACTCTTATATGCAGTTTACTATAATTGTATAAGTCGATTCTTGTATGAGTGTGTTGAGTGTGATTCGAGTTGATTATTTTGAGTGTATCAAGTGTGATTTGAGTTGAATCTAGATTCTAGATTGTTTGTAGTTGTGGGAAATAATGAATTTTATATTTAGATTATAATATAAAAATGTTTTTCAATTTAAAGAGTATTTCAACTAGAAAATGAAATGTATTTTTTTTTTTTGAAAGAAAGATGCATGAAATATTATAGCAAAGGCAAAAGAGAGTTAGGGGGAATAGAGTCCCAGTACAACGGACTAGCTGAGCAAAGGCCGCAATAGCAAAAGAATGAGCTAACAAATTAGCCGATCTAGGCACAAAACTAACTAAACAATAAGAAAAAGAAGAGAGAATAGATTTGCAGTCTTGAATGATAAAACCAACATACGATAGGAGAGCAACATGATTCGCCACAAGGGAGCGGCGCAACTCGGAACAATCAGTGAGCAACTCAACAACCAACACCCCTTTATTCTTGATCCAGGATAGCACCTCCTTACAAGCCATCGACTGCGCCATGAGAGGAGAGAAACAAGGCGGCAAAGAGCCGCTGCAGGGTGACGAAAAGCTCCCGTTCGAATTGAACAAGACGGCACCAAACGTCGCCTTCTTCGTCGTAGGATGATAGCCAACGTCGACGTAGCACCTGGGAATGTCGATGCAGCGGCTGGCAGGTTCACCGTAACAGAAGCAGGGACTACAGCACCTCCAGCAAACCAAGTAGCAGCAGCCTGCGCATGGTGGGTGTAAACAGACTGCCAAGCTCCCAACGTAGCCTTCACCATCGAGCAGACCTTCCTAGGCAACGGTAAATCACCCTCCCAAACTACTGAGTATCTGGATCTCCATAAATGGTATAACACTGCCACAAGTAAAAGAATATTCCCCTCAGATAAGTCTCCAAAGCATTTGTGAACCACATAGGGAAGGACATGCCAACAGTAGAAGGGGTAGGAATGGCGGGCTCATTCCAAACAAGTTGGGAATAGTCACACCCAATTAATGCATGCATAGTATCCTCCAGCTCCAACCCACACATTGGACACCAGAGGCGGAGCCAGGATTTGTTGGTGCGGGGGGCCGATCACAATTTGAGAGATAATAATAAAATACATTAATATGCACTTATAACATACACAATATATCTTGCACTAGTATTCAAATCATTATGCACTTATAACATACACAGTAACTACATGCTACAATCATTTTCAAAACTCATCAAATCACCTAATTTCAAACTCATCAAATGCCCATTTAGCCATTTCATTATGATTTATGCACTAGTATTCAAATTCTAGCAAATCCTATTAAACTTTTAAAAGTATAAACATACACTAACCAAAGGAGAAGTAGTGGAGAACGCCGACACTCGTAGCCGGTAGCCCGAGTTCACCGCGGTTGCCATCGTGAGTCGTCAACTGAGGAAACGAAAGAGATGATTTAACTATTTAGACATTTACCCCGAGTCCCCGAGTTTACCGCGATTGTTATAACTTGTGAGGATGATGAATCAATTTCCAATAAAGAATAATTCATAAAACAAAAAAATTAAGGATTTAAAAAATAAAAAAGAAATAGAAAATTACCCATATACTTGCAAGTAAAATATTGAAGAGAATATGTTGTTTCGAATATCTGCCGCGTCTGCCTACTGTGTTTGCAAATTTGAAAAGTGGTTGGTGATGGACTGATGGGAGTGATGGGGGCCACACGCCCACACAAATACACAATGACACTAGCTAATTAGCTATTATAATACTAACTAATAAAAATAAATAAAATTTTGGGGGGCCCAAGCTGCCAAAGGCCATAATGTGTAGCCTGTGGCCTTGTGCTGCTCTATTGCCTCTATACTAAGATAAAAAAAATTTTCTCTTGGGAGAGGGGGGGAGGGGGGGGGGGGGGCAAGGGCCCCTCTTACTACCAGGTGGCTCCGTCCCTGTTGGACACGAAGGGTTTACCTCGGGGGGGGGGGGGGTGCACTTTTAATTTCCATATGGGATTCCATTTAGAAAAAGCACTAGATTGATCAACTAAGTCTCCAACAATGCACCTGTAACCACTTTTAACAAAGTACCAAAACCAAAGAACCACTCAACTCAATAGGCATAATTGTTTAAACCATTGGGTCAGACTCATCAGGCAACCAAGGATGGCTCCAAATCAATGTGGTCCTACCATTCCTGATTCTACGCCTAGCACCACTGCAAACCTGATTGTGTGCAGCCATAATACTTCGCCAATAGTAATTAGGACAGTTTCCTACATAGGCATCAATAAAAGAGGTCTTAGGAAAGTATCTTGCCTTATAAATCTTAGCTACCAACGAGTGGGACTTTGTTAGGAAACGCCAAACTTGTTTGCCTAACATTGCCATATTGAAAGCTCTCCTAACATTGCTAGATTGAAAGCTCTCAGGTCCTTAAAACCTAATCCACCAAACTTCTTAGGGATGCAAACAATCCCAAACCTTCCAGTGAATTCCTCTATCATTACCTGAGCCCCACCAATAGTGGTTCATATTCCTTTCAATAGAAAGACAGACAGTCTCTGGGAGCAAAAAGACACTCATAGAAAAGGTAGGCATTGTGTGCGCCACACTCTTCAAGAGGACCTCCTTACCTGTCTGCAATAGAAGCTTCTTATTCCAAGATCCAATCCGGTGCTTAATTTTATCTTCAATATATGCAAAAGCTACTTTCTTATTCCTGCCCACAAAAGAAGGTAAACCCAAGTATTTTCCAAAATTTGGTGCCTGATTCACTCCCAAAACCGTAGCGACCTCCTCCTTATCCACTTCAGATGTATTCTTGCTAAAACAAACACTAGATTTATGAAAATTAATAGCCTGTCCTGACAACTCTTCATAAATATTCAGCCAGTGTTTAACCACTTTAGCTTCCTGGGCATTAGCTTTAAAAAATGGGAGATAGCAGGAGCTCCATAGCCACTCTAATCCCGTGTATGGAACCCTCCATCTGGGCCTTTTGTAACAATAAAGAGAGCCCTTTAGCACAAATAATAAATAAGTATGGGGATAGAGGGCCACCTTGCCTAAGACCACGGGATGGGACAACACAGCCACTATCCACACCGTTAACCGAGAAATTATAAGATATTGTGGTGACACAAAGCATAATTACATCAACCCATCTGTCCGCAAACCCAAGAGCCAATAACATCTTACGCCAGAAGGTCCATTCCATCCGGTTATACGCTTTAGCCATATCTAACTTGAGAGCCCCCCACCCAACAACACCACAACCACTTTGGGTCTCAGCAACTACTAGAATGTTATTCGTGATTAACCTGTCAGGAACGAAAGCACTTTGGGACTCCGAGATCAAATCCCCAAGGAGTGGTTTTATTCTATTTGCTAACATCTTGACCACATAATTTTATAAATAACATTGCAAAGGGCAATAGACCGAAGATCAGACACAGTCTCAGGCACGCTTTTCTTAGGGATCATAACCATATTTGTTGCACTTAGCTCCTCAAGGAAAGCACATGTATTAAGGCAGTTTAGCACAAAAATTAAGGCAATTTAGCACAAAAGCAGACACATCCCCTCCTACCATATCCTAGAAGTGCTGATAAAACTCCGGATTCAAACAACGTGGACCAGGGGACTTATCAGGAAACATTGAAAAAAGAGTAGACTCAACTTCCTCAAGCTCAAACAGACGAAGGGGAGTACAACTTTTAGAATGGGAAACACTGGGAGAAATATCATCAAAGAAAGAATACACAAAGGCAGAACCATTTGTACGGAAAATATAATCAAGATAACTCAAAACGACAGGTTTTATAGCATCACCCTCCAACCAATCAGCACTAGCATTCTTAAGCCTAACAAGAGTATTTTTCTTTTTTCGTGCAGAGGCATACCTGTGAAAGAACTTTGTGTTTGCATCTGCCCCTCTGAGCCAATGTTGCTTGGCCCGCTACTTCAAGAAAAACATCTTCTTAAGCCTCCAGCAGGCTAAGCTGCGCCTCAATGTACTGGTACTTAGTCAACGAGGCAGGATCCGTTAGCCCCCCTATGGCATAATTGGTCCTTCTGAAGCTGTTTAACACGTTCACCAAACTTGTGGAAGTGGTCACCTCCCCAGCTTAATAAAGGGTCTCTACACAAATGAAGGCAATCCAATAGACCCCCATATTTTCCATCCTGCCAAGCCCCCTCCATAACATCCCTACACCCCTCATAAAGTAACCATGCCATCTCAAAACGGAAATGCCTCCTTGCTCCCCCACCCGTGGTACGAGTATCTGTAACACCCCACTTTTTCTAACTTTTAATTACAAATCTAAACCACAATTAACATAAACTAAGCAGCAGGATAAATACTAAAAAGATAACTAGTGGGAATGTCACCGCCACAACCACCACACCTTGGTGATTGCACAGGCTAGGGGGTAGAACTAGAAATAAAATAAATATCTAACATCCTGATGCATTCATAGGAAAAACTTACCACAGACGCAGACATCGCAAGCAACAATAAGGAAGCAGTAAAGAAAAGAATAAGAAGCCAAGCTATTTACAGTAATCTCTTTCCTGTTTATTTTTATTCAGATTTCCAAGTTGTTTTTTAGTTCCTATTTTTTAGGATATGAACGTTAAGTAACGTTAGGCCTTC